AAAGAGGAATTATGAGAGTGGCTGGGAAACTGTCCTGGAACATTAAATAATGTGATCACAACAGTAGGAGCCATAATTTTCCCAATTTTCATTCCCTCAGGACTTATGGGTCCCAAACTTTGGACAGTCTATAAGTTAGCCCATTTGTGACACTTTGGTTCAAAAAGTATTGTCCTGTGATAATATCACTTTGTCCATGAGAATGAGAGTTTTAGTAGTATATAGATTTTGCTTAAAATGTTTAGATAGAAAGCCAGCTGTGTAGCATGCTGTTGTAGTGAATGCCCTCACTGAGCATGGATTTGATAAGATGATCTGTAAGGCCCCGCCTAAGTGTAATGACCCAGGGCTGGGCATGGAAGCAATGCGGCCGGAACAAAGGCTTAACTCCCCTTTATTGCACCAACTTTCCTTCAAAAGTCCTACCGTTCACTGCAAGTCCAGGAGCAAAGCTCTAAACACGCACCTCCAATAGTTCCTGGCTGCTATTAGTCCAGAGGAGGCACACAGTTCTGAGAGCAGCCACAGTTCAGGGAATTTGGTTCCAAGGAGTCCTTGTCACAGGAAGAGTTCTCTGGGACTGTAGCATAACCCGGAGCAGAACTGTGTTGACACGAACTCGCACATAGCCAAACCAGGCAAGCAGGGCAAGGCACAGCAAAGTATCCAAATGTTGGTAACAGCATGTAAGACTGGAAAAAGGCAACCCTTGTTCTGACAAGTGCCACTCCCAACGGCATCTCATTAAATCTCATTCCTCAGATAAGCCTTGCAAAGAGGGGCGGGGTACCCTCCTCCCAAATTGTTGGGTCGCTCTGATCTGACCTCCGTGCTCAGGGATCGGGAGAGGGAGAGGTAATTGCTCGTTGCTGGAGCTCTGTCGCTCCGCTGCCTACCCTCTCCTCCCATCCTGCACCCTCTCTCATTCCTCGGCAATCCTTCCAGGCCCAAGGGATCTGGGACTACTTCATCCTAATCCTCCGATTGTTCCTCCGTAGGCCCTAGCTCCATCTCGTCATCCTCCTTAGACCCAGGCTCCAATGGGGCCATGACGCTCAACCTTATTTCTTATGTTTTTAAAAGCTTTAATAAGAAAAGATTTTTT